TGAGCCGTTCCGTGTCGCTCCGCGTCCAAACGACTTCGCGATGGGCCGTCGAGAAAACACCTTTCGCATAGATTCTGCGAACGTGCCGAAGAAACCGGATAATGCCAAAGTGCACAAGTTCTGTGCGACCATATTAGGTCTGAAGCAAGGTGAAGTGCTACGAATCCAAAACAGTAGAACCCTCGGTGTTTCCTTCGTGAAAGTTGTCGACCTAGCATTGGCGCAACGAATTTGCGAGGAACACGACAACAAGCACGAGATTACAGTTGACGGGAAAAAGTATCCGTTGAAAATCACACTGGAGGAGGGAGCAGTGGAGGTGAGGCTGTACGATTTGTCCGAGGACGTGTTGGACCTAAAAATCGCCGATTTCCTAGGAAGGTACGGTGATGTCATCGCTGTACGAGAGCAGCGAAATGGAACCGAAGTCGATTTTCCTGGCATCTCAACCGGTGTTCGTATGTCGAAAATGGTCGTTGAAAGGAACATTGAGTCGTGGGTCACGATAGACGACGAGATGACACAAGTGTCGTATTTCGGGCAACGTCAAACTTGCCGACACTGCCGGGAATACATCCATGTAGGAGCTACCTGTGTGCAGAATAAAAAACTGCTCGTGCAGAAGACGTATGCCGATGCCGCAAAGCAGATGAGTCCATCACCTAAGACTTCACAAACAACGAAGCAAACCGCATCCACTGCGAACCCAACGAACACAATATTAAACTTCGTCACTCCTGGTGCCAACCAAACCAACACAAACTTGGCACGTATGCAGCCGCCGAAACAAATTCCCCAACGAAAACAACAGAGGTTGTTACCACCACCGGTCGTCACTGATGAAAATTTTCCTACGTTAGCCTCTACCTCGGCTTCGCTTCACCCATCGGATAGCGGGCCGTTGATCCCCTCTACAGGTCAACAGCCCCCTGCTATTGGCGGAGTGGATCGCAAAACTGCTAGTGGTAAGTCCAATGGAAACGAGACAGATTCATCTGTCGGCTCATCCAGCTCCAAAAGGCATCTCCGCACTCGTCCACCAGGCAAGAAGCCTCGAGTGGAAAACGACGACGATACGCGAGATGGGAGTAATCGACCGTCCTAATGGCTGAGTTCTTTAGTTATAACCTCGCAACTATCAACATCAACAACATCACGAACGCAACGAAGATCGACGCACTTCGGTCTTTCGTACGAACGCTGCAGCTGGACATCGTTTTCCTTCAGGAGGTGGAGAATGAGCAGCTCTCTCTCCCTGGTTTCAACGTCGTCTGTAATGTGGATCACGCGAGGCGGGGAACGGCAATCGCGCTAAAAGACCACATACAATTCTCGCATTAAGCGTGATTACCTCTCACCCCAGCAGGCCTGAGGCATAACATCTCTGATCACGCCTTCCTTCGGATGGGAAGTAAAGTCGTGGGTCCCCGGTTCATGAGTTGATGGGTCGATAGGTAGGGTCCAGGTGTGGGAGCTGCCTTCCTGGCACGTCGGTAGCATTGGTGCTCAGCACGGAAAACAAGATCGACGGAAAAAACAAACCAAAGGAAAAAAAAAAAAATTCTCGCATGTCGAGAAAAGCCTGGATGGCCGCCTCATTGCTTTGAGGGTGCAAAATACGACTCTCTGCAACATCTACGCACCATCGGGGACAGCTTTTCGTGCGGAAAGAGAGAGGTTTTTCAACGGCACGATCGCTTAGTACCTTCGCTTCAACATGCAACACGTCATCCTTGCCGGTGATTTCAACTGCGTGCTACGTCTGAGTGACTCTACGAGTGCCAACAAGTCCAGCTCTCCAGGCGACCGTACGGCAGCTGCAGCTACACGACATATGGTTAAAATTGTACCCCACATCCCCCGCACCCGAGACGGCTAATACATAGGTGTAACAGTCGGAAGAAGTGTTAGTTTGTTTACTTAAATGAACCATGCCCATTTTGTTATGGCATGTTTGCTATAAGAAATGCGCCTCGTGTTTATTAGCGAATTTCACATCAAAGATTGATTAATTGAGTAGGAAATCAGTTTGGCACGGCATTTGTGACCAGCATACACCTTCCGGTAGTATGAAACAGGTCAAAAACTGTTCAAATCCGCAGATAAAAAATTTTGTTTTGAATTTCTGTATAGCAAAATAGTGAACTTTTCGTGAACATTAACGGCAAAGAACTCACCAACACTGGGAGACCGTGAGTTCCTGCCCACCTGTCATAAAACCGTCTTGATCTCGTTCGACCTAGATCACGCGTTTGATCGGGTCTCTCATGAGTTTCTTCATCGAACCCTTCTCTCTCTGGGGATCAATCATGATTTCGTCGGCTGGCTCTCTCGAGTGGCCGATACCTCTTCATCACGACTGTTAGTGAATGGGCACCTTTCACAGTTGTTCCGCATAGAACGATCCGTACCAAGACGGTTTTATGACAGGTGGGCAGGAACTCACGGTCTCCCAGTGTTGGTGAGTTCTTTGCCGTTAATGTTCACGAAAAGTTCACTATTTTGCTATACAGAAATTCAAAACAAAATTTTTTATCTGCGGATTTGAACAGTTTTTGGCCTGTTTCATACTACCGGAAGGTGTATGCTGGTCACAAATGCCGTGCCAAACTGATTTCCTACTCAATTAATCAATCTTTGATGTGAAATTCGCTAATAAACACGAGGCGCATTTCTTATAGCAAACATGCCATAACAAAATGGGCATGGTTCATTTTAGTAAACAAACTAACACTTCTTCCGACTGTGGCACCTATGTATTAGGCGCCGAGGATCCGTACGTCAGGGAGATCCGATGTCGATGCTGCTCTTTGTGCTCTACCTCCATCCCCTCCTCACACGGGTGGAGCGTGTGTGTGGCGGTGATCTTTGCGTTGCGTACGCTGACGATATCACGGTGATAGCAACATCAACGCAAACAATTGAACGGATCTTTCAGCTGTTCGACTGCTTTGAAGTCGTTGCCGGGGCAAAACAAAATCGCCATAAAACAGTGGCAATCGATGTCGGATTCATCAATGGGGATCCACTGTTGATACCAGTACTACAGAATACAGAAAAGGTGAAGGTTCTGGGTGTTATTTTTGCAAATTCAGTGCGCCTGATGGTGAAGCTAAACTGGGATACGCTAATCAACAAAATTCGGCAGCTTATATGGATGCATAACATGCGCTCCCTTACCCTGCAGCAAAAGGTAATATTACTTAACACCTTCATCACAGCGAAGGTGTGGTACCTCTCTTCCATAATACCACCGCAATGTATCCACACGGCAAAGCTGACAGCGACAATGGGGACTTTCCTGTTTCGAGGCATAACGTGTCCCAATGCAGCAGCTGGCGCGCAGTAAAGAACATGGAGGACTAAAACTGCAATTGCCAGCGATCAAGTGCAAAGCGCTTCTCGTCAATCGCCATCTTCAAGAGATCGATTCCCTTCCCCAGTCCCTTCTCGCCCAAAATATTCCTTTCCCTGCCGATCTTCCCTGTCTAAAACTCATCTCTCAGCAATTTTCCTTGTATCCCCACCACATCCAACAAAACCCCACCAGCGATCAAATTCACCGCTTCTATCTGGAGCAAACCGAGATACCAAAAGTGGAACGGAACCAGCCAGGCCTGAACTGGAAGAAGATATGGGCAAACATTTCATCAAGAAGACTGTCATCGAGCCAGCGCAGCGATCTCTACTTGTTAGTGAACGAAAAAACGGAGCACCGCAGACTGATGAACATCATCGGCCGTGCAAACGACCCACATTGTCAGCACTGCATGGTGGTCACCGAATCTTTGCAACACAAGTTCAGTGAGTGCCCCCGAGTAACCGCGGCATTGGCGTACGTGCAACGAAGGATGACGATGACTCTCGGTGGGTGGCAAAGGCCTACTTTCGCAGACCTTCTACGCCCGATCCTGGGTACAATTGCAACAGAGACAAGAATCAATTTACTTAAAATTTTCATAAAATACATCAACTTTATTAATGCCAATATTAATAGTAGAATCGATGTAGGTGAGCTAGAGTTTGTTCTAAATCTAGAAGAATAATTTAATTTTTATCTGTTTGAATGTGTTATTTATTATTAAAAACTAAATAAACAATATTTTTACAAAAAAAAAACACTAATAAAAGCGACAGCGAAAAAAAAATGAGACCCGCACGGGAAAAAAATGCATTTTGAAATTCGTCAAGCTCAAGTCACGATTTACGGAACAAGTAAATTTTTCGTTTACGAAAGTACATAATGAATAATAATCGTGAAATCGTTAACATTGTTCTGCAAATAATGCTACAATAAAAGATACAGTTCACATGATGTTATGAACAAATACAATTATATATTTTTTTAATATATCTTGTATAGATAGAATCATCTCCTTTGCTTTGAAATGATTAAAACTAAAATTTCTAGATATTCGGAAACACTAGCTTGCACTGAAGGGGTGGCAAACACTCTCAAACTGGCACCGTCATTTATTTTGATCATTTAAGGGTTGTTTTTGGACATTTTAGAAATGGATACACACGATTTTGATTAGTCTAAGGGTAATCTACATCAGCACGAAAATCCCTAGTTTGGACTCCAATCCGCCATATTCCTTCGACCCATCGACATGATGGGCTCTTCAATAAGAATCATTTGCTGTGGCCTTAATTCAGCTCCTTGTCAACAATAAACTCTTTGTATCTCTGATAGCAACTAACTCATCAGTACAGTACAACATCTTGGAAACTTGGAAATTCCCTTATGACGTATTTACCACATACATATACCTTAAAATAGCTACTTTTGAGCAAGATTTCCGTTCCCACCCCGATTATCTAAATGAAAACCATAAACTCATAAATCTTTCTTGAAAGGAACAAAACTTGTAGATACTGTTTCAAGTGCAATTTATTGAATTCCTTGCTTCGATAAGCCACCCCCAGGGTGGTTGATACATCGAGCCAACCCAAAATCTTATCACATAACAACAATTTATTGTTCATCCTGAACATAACAATAACAGACCATTGAGATAATCGTCTCCACTCCATTGCGTGTCGCTTAATCTAGCGAGAACGGACTGGATCCTCGGGTAGTCAGCCTGAAGATTCCCTGCGTTCCGGTATTGAAGTTGGAAGGTTCACCACCCATTGGACGATTGGCACCGGTGGCGACACAGTTGTTCTCCAGAATCTGCTGGAACGATTGGCACGGAGTCGACGAGAATCCTCCACGGATGATAGACTCGGCCAAAAACTCGTAAGCCCTGCCGTGGGCGCAAGCTCCGGTAATGTCAATACCACAGCCTGGTTGAATTCGCCCTCCGTTCGGGTAGAACGATGCCCTGCCCAGCGGTAGATCAAATCCCAGCAGTCCAGCGTTAGTGTGGATGGTTTCCACGTACTGTGCATCGGTGGCCTGAATACGATCGGAGCTATCGAATGAGAACAGTGGCAGAGCTGGATCCATACCGAAGATCGTGTTCAAACGGTTAAACTGAAAGAAGCCTGCATTACCGGCGGCATGAGCACCCAAGCTATGTCCCGCGATGCTAATGCTGTTAAAGGCGATTCCAGTGTTGGAACTCAAGAAGTTGATGAACGTCGACACTACTGATCCAACGGACATGATGCGAGCTCGGGCGAACGGATAGTTTAGGGTAATGGCACCCACTCCCCAGTCAACGGTGATCACGTTGAAGTCACCACGTGACAGCCAAGCGTTCGTCAGGATGGTGTTGACTTCCGAGAAGCCATCGTTATTCCATCCGTGGATGATGAACCGAGTTGGGTGAGCCGGGTTGAAATTTGAGCTCGTCAATGAAGCTGCGTTGTTCAGTCCGATGACTTGCGGCGAGGTTGGATTCGAGCGAGTGTACAAACGGAAGATCGTATCGGTAGCGGCAGTGAAGCGTTTCTCCGGTTCCTGATCTTCATTTGGAAGGTTGTATGGGTTAAGGTTAACCAAGTGTAAACGGCCGTTGGCGTCCGGAACTAGACTCCAGCTGTCCGCCGGTAGTTCATCCAACGGTGCGGCAGCGACTGTAGTATGATTAAATAAACGATTATTCTTGTTAGTTCGTTGTTAATGCAAAACACTACTTACCAAGTGCCACCAGTCCTAAAAGCACAGCGCCAATATTCTTCATCATTTTTAAACGTTTGTAGGAATTAAAATGGGTACTTGGGATAGCCGGCTTAAGTCTTTATATATGGCTAAGCTCGACTTTTTCTTATCTCTGATCTTTTGTCCAAAGGGTTGATTTGTTGTGAAGGCTCTTGAGATAGCAAAAATCTACCGCAATTAATAGTGCGTCTAACCGGTGGTGGTGAGAATTCGTGGGGGTATGTAAACAGGAAGTATGGCACCATATCAAATGACGTGTGTGTGTTTCAAAGGATTGACCAGCTGGGCTGGGGGTAATAATGATAAGGCCTCCCGCTAGACTAGCCAGTAGAGGCACGGTTCTACAGCAAATTTATACTGAAAGTGGCTTGTTCGATTTAGGTTAATAACGCTTTCGATCGACAACTATGGAAGTTATTAAAGAATACCTAGTAGAGGACAGACTTGACGTTCCAATTGGAACGTAATATACAAGTAGATCTTTATCATATTTAATCATGACGAGCCTCCGTGTTTGAGAATAATCGAAATAGAGCTATTGTGCGTACATTTCAATGGATTAAATTGTTATCGCTTCCCTAATAAACTGGTACCATATACGACCGATATCTGAAATGGTGTAAACGTATCACATAAGTTTGGGACGATATCTTGAAGCGGTAGTTAGACGGGACCCGACAATCGAGCTTCTTACTCTTCTTAATATTGTTGATGTATGCCCATGGAATTTTTTGCATGATGTTTGACGGTCTCGATCAGTGATGCCAGGATTACAGAATGTTTTTTAAAAGTTAACTTTTTTGTGTTATGTATTTATGTGTTTCATTTCAATATATGTTATATTTAGATAACTTTTACTAACTTTTGAGGTTCAATCCGGCGAACTCAAAAATAGGTTAACCGACACCTTAATTCGGGTAAATGATTCGTAGCGTGTCCTGCCTTTTTACATTCGAAAGAATTTTCTCCTGCAGCTTCTGCTACGGATCTCGAAGGCGTTGGTCTTCGTTGCTTGGATCGAATTAACGAAAACAAACTTTCAAGACAGTCTTGATCGAAACGAGATGTGAATATGCTTGTGTGTCCGCAGCTAATTAGCCTTGTCACTAAACGAACTATCACGTTAGTACTTAAAGCTAATCCTGATTGCCAAGGTTTCCAATGACCAGCATGTCCTACCTTAACATCAATGATCAACTTTACAATACGTTGCAAACGAGAAATAGTGAAAGTGTACTGATTCTTAATCGAAAAGCGAAGAGATTTTTCTTCTGTACGGTTTGTGAGGATTTCGAACCACCACGAAATATCCTCGATAAAAGTTGCGGTTGTGGTCAACTCAGAGAGACCAGTTTCAGCTACGACAACACGGATACCTGCAACCACGGCCTGATTGCAAAACTTCGTGGCATTGCTCACCTTCATTTTATCAATTGATGATGCTTTTTTTCACATCTTCTGCTGACAGTTTGTGCACCATCCTTAGGTGGTTTCCATTCTCGTAGTGTACCAATGTTTTCAAATGCTCCCTGTGAATCATACCAGACGATAATCCATTCTCAACAACCTACCAGTCAGGAACGACGATAAATTCATTGTTGATCCACCCATTGACCAGATTTTTGAAAACATGAACTGGATCCGGTATTACCAACAATCAATACGAAACTAACGATTTTAAATTGGCTCACCACTTTAGTAGCCTATTAGTCCCAAGCAAACGATTAACGTACCCTATTCTAGTTGAAATTCTATTACTACACTATGTTTGTTTTGATTCGCTATGAAAGTTTGACAGATAACATCAGGGGTGTGTGGATTCATGCAGAACATGCAGGGGTGTGTGAAATAGCTTGGGACTGCTTGGAACCGTTGTTCTGGTACTGAGTGAGCCAAAAATAATAATGATTTTCTTCGGGACCCAGTGGTCTTAGAGTTACCTCTATGGTATTACCTCTAACCTACGGGTATTGTCCACGGGATGTGGGATGAAAACATCGTCTTTCAAAGCATTTTCCTAAAAGTTACTCCAAGATCATGCTACATTCGCTGGTTTTCCGCTCCAGAATCGAACGTAACAAAATGCACACGCAAGTCTATATCTTCTTCCACTCTTATAACCGAAACAACTAAAGCCTTCAGTAAGCCTTTCGGAACGGAACTAGAAGTGAATTCCCACCAACATCAGTACAAGAGCCTTTGATGCAAGCTTGGGTGACTTTAGGAGCGTTGTAGTGCCGACAAATTGTTTAATTGTTTGAGTTTAAACAGAATTCTTGTGCTTCGTCTAAACTCATTTCGTCAAGTACGAGTCCACAATCTTTTTGTATGGATGACATTGCAGCAACTTTGTGTTTTAAAAGCTCTACAATTTTCGTCAATATACTTATGATTGATTACAATTGTGATACATGTACGATATTAATATATATGTAATTTTTTGCCAGCGCCGAATCCTATTCCTTCGATGTGACGAAGAAGAGTTCTCGTTGATGGGAATGGATATCCACGTTTGATGAGTTCATCATACCCTCCTTGACATGCGAATCGAATTTTCAGGTTGTTCACGATTGTTTCACAGGACCACTTCTGCACTTTACGGACATGTTTTGAGAGAAGTTTCAGCTGATCTTCACGGAAAATACTGTGCTCCACTTTTTCCGATTTCTGGGATTTCAGTTTAAAATTTGTTGGCTTCCACCTGTTACAAATCCTATGAAATAAATATGTTACGTTTTTTTTTACCATTTGGAATAATAAACATACTTCTTAAGCTTCGAGATTTGTTGCCGCTGGTGAAAAATTTGCTGTCTTAAACTGTCTTCGAGCGTCAATTCTCGAATAGGTTCGAACCCATTACATTTTTCAAAAGATTTCATTTCCGGACCGAAACGATCATCTGCTACCGCTGGTTTGTGTCGATGTTCGTCTGGGAAATGCTCCTGCAAAATCAATTACGTAAAAATTTCATATAATTCGTATCTCAACCTACGCCGAGGAGCTTTTCACTTTCATTCATTTGGTCGGTACAATTACGTTTCTCACTGTATTCAATTTAAGAATCACAATCTTCATATTCGTTTGGCTCTCGCAATGTTGGAACAGCTGTTGAACCATCCACATTTCCAGTTGGGAAATGAACCTAGAATATCATTACGTGCACATTGAGAATTTAGTAATCTATGTTCCAACTTACGCTGCAAACTCTTGAACTCCCTTTAACTTAAAAAAAACTCAACATCGTCTTCATTTTTTTTACGCAAAACCGAATCCAAGCTAAACGAATTATTTTATCTTTCGGAAACCGGAAAGGCTTAAAGTTTGATTTGATATTGAGTTTCTACCACAGTTTAGCGCCTGGCACTTCATATTCAATCAAATCACAATAAAAACAATTCACAGTACCAATCACTTCAAAGCACGCACTTCATTTCACTTTCGTTTCACAAATAAAATCCTCAAATAACATCAATATCTTTCACGTCAATGTTGATTTCGGCATCACTACCAGCTAGATTGGTGTGTTCCCTCTGTTTTCAATTTTCCACGATTACTTCTGTCAAATCGACCAATCAGCAACTGGCTCGACAGAAAATTGGCTCGAAATCGATACCCGATTGTCAAATCCCATCCCATGTTAGACCAAGGGGAACGACACTTTTTCAGATGCATTTTATTTAAAAAAAAAGGCTTGGCAGCGCTTCGATGGTGTGCGAGTGAGACGGAAAGAATAGATTGGAATAGACAGAAGGATAAACAGGGATGTTCAGCATATCTTGCAAAAAATAAAAAAAAGAGATGCATAAACTTAGAAAAGAGATGTGCGACGCTTTGTTGTGTGTAATATAGTAGTCAATGTCAATGTCTACTTTCCATGAATTTGAAGTTTTCTGGTTGCGTTGCAAATTGTATCCCGTAAATATCATTCAGGAGCATTTCGCCCACTAATGCTTTCCTCATAAACGCAAACGATAACTTGACCTTACCGAAAATGCTTAGAAATTGTTTATAATCCCTACTAAACTTCAAGTGAAATGGTTATAGAACTTTACATGAACGTTTGTGTTTTAGAGATGAACTAGCCTAAGGCTAAAAATCTCTTAAATAAAGAATTTAAAAAAAAAAAATGAACGTTTGTGTGATAAAATTTTAACCTTAAGTATTATGGTTTTTTGGAAGTGGACCTTACAAATAATGGGTTGTTAAGAACCATAACCAATTCAAAAAAGATGAACTATATTAGAACCTGGTGATCAATAATTTATCAATTTAGATGGTCAAAGTTTTGAAACCCACCACATCCTGCTTTTGTCGCTACCGTATATGGATGATCAAATGTAAAATGCTGTGGTAGCCACAGCATAGTTCTGTCAAAAACTTAGCATTTTTTAGAAACTAGTGAACAAGAAGATTTACGCACTACATAGTGAGTAGTATGGAGCAATCGTTGCGTCTGCGCTACGTTGGCATTTTCAACTTATCGGCCATATGGATGCGGAAACCATCTTGCGGGGAAAGTGTTCGAAGCAAAATGTGTTACTCATCGCTCAATTACGTAACGTTTATTTCTGTAAATTATGATTTTACATTTCAATTGATTAGCCTATCAGGTTCTTCATCTTTGTTTAATTTGTTATTCTTATTTAAGTATTCACGCTTTTCAACTAGTGTACAGAATACCCCTTTGAAGATCATTTTGGTTAAACTAAAAAAACTACGATTAACTTAACTTAATTAGCAAGATCGCGTATGATCTGATTTGATCGCAGACAGGCGTCTCTGAACCTTTCGAGGCTGAGCGTACTTCGCTCATCCAGTGTCTAAAGACCAGTCAGGTGGTGGATCTCAGAATTTCGAGTCCACCCGGGACTGTTGAGGATCAACCTACGGATCTTGTTCTGGATCCTTTGGAGTTTCAGGTGATGGCACTTAACGCAGCTCTCCCAGATTGGTGTTCCATACTCAATGACCGGGAGGATGATTTGCTTGTGGACGGCAAACTTGTTTTAAATGGAAAGAGTGGACTTTCTGTTGATAAGTGGGTAGAGTGACCTAATCAAGATGTTGCACTTGGTGGATGTTTTGTCCACATTGGAACGGAACAACAATTTGCTATCAATAGTGAGACCAAGGTAGACGACTTCACT